CTTGTATACTTGAAGTCAAGCTCCACACTGGGTGTATTGATATTTTTCATAGATTGTGGAGATTTGTGCTGGCTTRTGTTTCCAGAAACTCATTTGTGTCAGGAGCAGCATGAGCATTTTGGAAATGTGCTTTAGTATACATCTAGAAATATTGACTTAGATTTTTTTTCTAATATCTATAGGAAAACCTGCAGGTTTTGCCAGCCTCAACGGTATAGGACTATATAACAGCCAATTATATGTAAACATCWGAACCCAAGGAAAAGCAATAAGTTACTTCAGATTTGCTTGCCAGGTCTGCAAATATGAACTGATTTAGAAATCTACCAATCTAGGGAAAAAAGGGAGGCTGTGCCAAGGCTGTCCTGTCTGTTTTCAAGCACAGAAATTACCATTCCCAGCTGTTCCTCCTGCTGGAGTTCGTCACTGTGTAGGTCCATTTTTCTGAGSTTATTTTAGAGGAAAGGAATATTCCTCATTCCCTCTGTGTGAGTGCCAAAGGGCCATTACACTGTGGCTCCAGTGACAGGATTGGCACAAAGACTCACAGTTATTCTGTTATCCAGTTACCCCTCTGGGACAGCAAAAAGGCCACRAAAAGGGTGAGGACAGAGCAGCTTACACAGAGCAGCCTGTTCCTRGCTGTGTAGACTTGCATCTGATAGCCAGAAAATTGAGCAGTAGCTCTTAACTTCTCTGCTGAACTCTTAAATTGAACTCTTTTTTTCTTAAATTGGGTGACTGGGGGGGGATAAGGAAAGACTGACTGTGCTCCCTCTGTTTGAAAAGGGAGTGTGAAGCCCCATGCATGGGGAGAGTCACACATCATCCGGCTGGRTTATCCTTCTTAATGCATAAGGGAGAATAGACAAAGACATCTAACACTTTGCATTATTGATTTGCCATAAGCATTTTTCATATCCTGTACCTAAGGATGATTCCCCACACCACCCAGCTCCATTTCCCAATTGATTAGACACAGAAGTATGTTAGATTATTAATCACTGAAGTGTGACTCTCCACCTCACYGCCTCAGAGTGAGTTCAGGCAAAAAATATATTCAGTATTCAGATACTGAAGTCATGAATTTGGAGTAAGAACATAAAAATGAGTGGTTCCAAGACTCTACTCAATGGAGGTCATGATTGCTCCTCAGATACTGATTGAGAATTAAATTTCTAAGCTAAAATATTACTTTTCTATAAATAAAGTCAAATATATTTTGTGCACAGAGTCCTGTTGCTCCCRAATTAGCAATGGCCTCTTGACTCCTGGGATGCAGTAAGCTTCTGCTCCCATTTTGCTGTAGAGCTGCTTAATGCAACTTAGAAATCTGTCTGAGCAGCAGCCCACATCCATGTCTGGATAGGGGCACATGGTAAAATTGRATGCAGCCAAAGGCAAACTGCTGAAATATTCCTACTAATTAGCTGAAATTAATTGTAGACTCTGTGCAACAAACCTTCTCCAAGTATAGCTGCATTAATGTAAAGGGCTAGCACCAGGGAAAACTCTCTGAAATTAATGAATTATTTCCAAAGTTATTGGCAACTACTCACAGTTACATGAAGRACAGGTTTTATTCCTTTCTGAATAAAGCTGAGAAATTATTTCTGTGCTGGGAAAAAGAAAGTAATTTGGATATGGGACCRTAAGTGTTTTTTGAACAGGACTGTTCAGAAACATTAAAAGGTTCTTTAAAAGCTCAATATTGCAGTCCCCTTTTCACATGTACTTTCAAGTATTAAGGTCCAGAGTGGCAACAAGGCTAACTTTTGGCCATCTGGAGMGTCAATGGGAAAATTTGAGTGCTGGGTGAGGACTGTTTTGTGGTCCTGAGTTGTTCTGCACTACATTCAAAGAAAAAAATAAAAGGCTCTCTGCAGTTTCTACTTTCTCTAATAATCAAAATTATCTCAAAATGTTCTTAGTCAAGAGGACTCAGCAAGTCTCTGAAGAAAAGTTATGATCTGGAAAAGAATAGATAATTTTCCTTGAGGATGAAGGGAATTACTTTAAACTGAAGCTTTCATCCCAGTTTCCCTGTACTTTTTCAAAAGAAGTATAATATGTAGTAGGACCAGGCAGTTACTAAAAGCAAGATCAAACTGTGGTTTTAAAAGATACAGTGGGTATCAAGGCCAGCAATGTGTTGATGTAAAAGAAGATACAGATTATATTTAACAAAAAAGGAACATTGCTTTTTGCCATTCCATCTTTACCTCGTTCACTAGAAAACCAAGAAAGTACTCAAAACAGGTGCCAGAGCAGAAAGATGGAGAGTTAATTTTATGAGCAAGTGATAGCACACATGAAAGCAGATATTTCCTTTTATATCCCTGCAACATAATCTCAGGAAAATAAGAAAAAAATTAGTCTTGCTGACCAAAGAGTTTCTAACACTGAAACTCCTGCTGCCTTACTTTGCATATGGTTGTGCAGTAAGCAGATTTCAAGCAGTTATAATTTAAAATAAATGTTTAGACCAATGATCTAAAAGGGAAAGTGTTTTCATACATTATGTATATCTGCATAATTTGATYTCCCAGTCAGTCCTTTTTGTTTCATCAAACAGCATCTTTGGCATGGCATTTGCTCAGAGAATATAATGTCCGAAAATGGTATTTATACACCATTTAGACTTGTAAGCTAACACACTTTCTACCTGAAGGTTTTGAAGTCAGGTTACTTCAGAGCTGTCCTTGGCTGATATTAAAATTCTGTTGAAATTGGTAGTTCATGAGCACTGTGAATTTCAATAACAGATGCAAAGTTTACTTTGCCGTACAGGACTCCACGAAGTGAGAGACTTCGCAATTTCATCTGGCAAGACATACTACATTTGAAACCACTCAACAAACTGAATTTTCTTAGCATGAGAGATAAAATGAACTAAGGGTATGGAAACTAGATATTTGGAAATAATGGTGCTGCATTTTATTCATATATACATATATATATTCTGATTTGTAAATGTATAGAAATGCTGATAACTGTATCATCTGGTGCACCTTCTTTCTCTTTCCTCTCTGKATGTATCCCCATAAACTCATTTTAATATTTTAAAATTTGTGCCTCTGTTCTGGATGTAAAATCGATACAGTAGATGAATTTTCATGATTTCAAAATCTCAGTGCTTGTTTATGGTGTGAGCTAGAGTCCAGTCTCCAGCATGATTCGAGCTGGTGTTTCACCTTAAGGCTTCAGGCATGGACACAGGATACCTGCTGAGCTGAGGACTTACATACTTAAGCAAAGAGACTAATTATTTCTTTTTAACCTTCTAATAAAAAAAACTGTCCTCTCACAGGATGAGTGGGAAATAAAAACTCTTATTTGAGTCCAGGTAAACAGGAGCATGTATATTGTACTGGAAGAACTCTATAGGTTTTGAGGAATTTTTTAATGTAATAAACAGAGGGGTTTATTTAATGTAATAAATTGAGAGCTTTCTGGATCATGCCAGCTGCATCTGCTTATAYTGGGAGGTGGCACAGATGTCAGGAAATGGAAATATTTTCCCAGTGGTTTTAGATGTCTAAGGCACACACAAAGCCCACACGTCCCACTTCTCATCAACATTGCTTTCGTCTTGGTTACTGACTTGTGATTTTTTTTTTTCAGAAACTTTTGTTTGTTTCTGAGTAATAGATATCTAAGGAATTCATKTAATCATTAATTATTCAAGGTTGAGACCCAGGCAATAATTTGCCTTCTGGCTTTTCCAGGAACTTTCTTTTAGCTTGAATGGAGGATGCTGTTCCTGTGAATCACTGTAGCTCTATCAAACTTTATGAGTCAGAGATGGACAATTCTTCATGAAGAGAAAGTAGTCAAAAGTAACCCACAGATACATCTTTCTCTCCAGAGTGCTTTTAATAAGAATTTATTTAACTATAAGGCATAATTTCAGTCATTCCKTGACATTTCAAACACTGTTCACCATTGTGAAGCATCATTTTAACTATAAAAAAAAGAAAGATTACATTCTGGTTATATTATTTCTTGAAATGGTTCTCTCTTGAGACTTAACCTGTGGGAAAGCTTTCTTTTTTTTTCCCAGACCATTGAGAAGTTGGGGCTTTTTCCTATCAGAAGACATGAAGTTAATACAAGTGATTGAAAGCATCAGTCCAAGCTGGGAATGAAAATACTTGTATTCCTCAGGAATGAAAAGAAATTATATTAATTACTAGGAGTCAAATAATTGACATGAGATAGATTTCATTCTATCATTGGTTTTATTATTTTAGATATCTCACACTAATTCCTATTAGATTCATTATTACTAAATCAATCTAAGATGTGATGCTTTGTGTGAATTAAAAAGGCTATTTCTGTTAATGCTGCATCTGAAGTTTGTCTGAGAGTTTGACTCAGCAAGTAACCCTGACTACCCTTACTCAGAAGGAAAATGGCAGTGGAGGACTCCCAAGGAAGCAGTGATGTGAAGACATCGTTTCAGAATTCATAGTCAGAACTTAGCAGAAACATTTCTTTTCTTTTCTCCTTCCACCTCTTTTTTCTTTTTTGAAAGATTTTTCATGTGAGCAATACTATTGTGGAATAAAATGTTTCCTTCTCTGCTTTCAAAGTTCCTTGTTTTTATTCCTCTGGGTTTAGTATCTTTTCTGTTTYATATTTTTCTTCAAATATTTTTTCTTTCTCTCCTTCTCCCTCACCCCCATCTTCAACCTAACTGGGATCAGAAAAAGAAAGAGACGAAGAAAATAATTTTGAGAGTCACGGGAATGTCACTTTTGCAAAGATGAAAATAAACAACTGAGCAAATTTTTATTTACAAAGTAACTTTGTCCCTACTAATGTTGTTTTCCATTGTTTTTTAATTCTACCAAATGAAATTAATTCATTACTTGGGTACATCCTGCCGACTCTGGTTTTCTGCTTTGTATGTTTATTTCCAAAGATTATTCTGCGATATGAAGGAAGGATGTTGCACACAATTAAATCAAGTTTCTCTCTGCAGGCATCACCACAGTATTGACCATGACAACTTTGAGTACCATCGCAAGGAAGTCATTGCCCCGTGTCTCCTATGTCACCGCTATGGATTTGTTTGTGACTGTGTGCTTTCTATTTGTCTTTGCTGCTCTGATGGAGTATGCCACCCTCAACTACTACTCAAGCTGCAGGAAACCAAACTGTACTAAGAAGAAAAAGTCGGTAAGATGGGAGCACTTACATTTCTTTTCATGTGCAGCTCAGAGAGCACATAATCATTCAGTGGTAGCTTGTAATCACGTGGCACTTCACTCCTCCAAGGTTTTCCTGAAAATGGTTTGTTCTGCCCTGAAAGCTGATGAGAAAGCCACCTGCAGTAGCAGCAAGAGCAGTTCTGTGCCTGCTGGGTGAGGTCTGTTCCTAACAGAAGCAGCTTGCCCACCATGGAGCAGCAGCCCTGCCTACACTGCTTTTGTCCTCCAATTACTGTGCTGGCAGTCGGAAAGGGCTCCCACTGAAACAGATTGCATAGCTTGTTATACAAATAAACGCACATCAATGTATATTCAAATGCATTGCTATTTCATGGCTTAACAGGTCTGGAAATATTTATGAACTTCACAAGAAGAATTTCAATGCCTCTGCTGGATAACCAGCATTTGGTTTAAGCTCTGTGCACAAAGGTGCATGTTCCCAAGGATAAAAATGGAGGTCACTTAAAAAAGGTTTTTATACATGGCTCTTTGCTGGCCAGAAAACAACTTCTAAGTGTAACACCCAGAAAAACACAAAAGCTGTTTATATAGAATCAATTCAAACAATCATGCAGGAAGAATTGCCTTCACAACTGACTGTGAGAATGAGAGGGGGCCATTTAATGGAAAAAAGAATCTCAGTGTAAACACAGGGAAAGGGGTTGACCACTCAAGATCGGTCATAAATCTTATGTGTTCAAGATCAGTACTTGGGGATGCCGGGTGCTATTGTATATAATGGAGGAAATAAGGACATTTGAAACCAGAAATCAAAGCCAAATAGAAAAAATGTGAAGAAGGAAATTGAAGAGAGAGAAGCTTAAATTTACAGAATAATAGGTCATGATATGAAAAGGGATTGAATGAAGAGCTATAGAAAATGACTGAATGAAGAACTAATGAASGAAAAGCTGAAACAAATATGGGATTAAAGAAAGCCTAGAAATCCATAGACTTACTCAATGAAAACTCTATTAAATCTAAAATAGCTTCTTGTAAAAATGCACTGCTCACAAAAGGCAAAAGATTGTAACCAAAGGAAAAGTGTGAGACTGAAATGAACTCGCTAGTGATGAAACTAAAATTGCCATCCTGTAGAGAGACTGAATTAAAAGTCATGAGTATCTTTGTTAGTAGGATATAGTTCCAGACATATGAGTGAAAATGAGGGAAAGCATGCAACATTGACGGGATTTTCGTTAACACCAGAACAAATTCTCATTTACCTATTGTTTGMCCAGTAAGTAAATGTAATGGGTTGAATTAAGAATTTAAATCTATGAAAACTAGGTGTGCATTCTGCTGAGGTTTCATGTTGTTTTCGAGTGTACAGAATATTATGCTGAGTTTATAGAACCCACAGCATGAAGTGTTTTGTGCATTTAAAGGCTTGGTCCAAGGAATACTRTTGAATTTAGATGCACGTGAAGAACTAAGTACGTTTTCCTCTGAATAATTCTTTTGTTATCTTTATTTAAGCTACCTGATGTAAGTTTTGGTCATGTAATGGTAAGTAAGCTACTTTACTCAGTGAGAGAATTGGGGGCACGAATATATGGTTGACATTTACTTGCACTAATTCCTTAGAGAGCTGTATTGCTGTGTTATGCTTTACCCTGACTTCACTATAAATATTGGTTGGCTTTTTTGTTAAAAGGTCAGTTTGTTTTCAGCTGTGGCAGAGGAACATAGCTGCCTCTTTCTGTAAGGACTTACCAAGTGATATGGGGGGGAGGAGGGTCAAGTATAGAATATTATSCATTATTTTTACTTCAGAAATTTTGCTGATCTGCTTTATGCAATACAGAAGTTTCTCACTACATTTTATRAGAAAGTAATAAGCACTAGTTATGTCATAAAATTCTATGGAGCTTTAGCTAAGTTTCATAGAAGAAAAAGTTCATTTATGTATATGCAATTTCTTTTAGCAAGTTTGCAGGTAGATTTAGGCACACAAGTTGAACACAGGTAGTTGTACTATAACTTCAAATTGAATGTGTGCAGCAGCAATAAAATCAGAATGGAGCACAAAATTGTGTTTCTAAATGGTATACAAATCTGAAACCAGAATACCTGAGATAATATATGCAAATATAAAGCACACAGAAAGCATAAAGCCAGTTAATCAGCTGGTAGAATGGTCTACCAGATAAGAACAGAGATAGAATTAAAACATTAGGTTTTGCATTGCTTGGGTTGGATATGCTGAAGTTTCTCATTTACAACTGCTAGATCCATGTGATTAGTCTATCTTTTTACCAGTAATAATATACACTTTTTTTTTTACATGGATTCTTTGATGCGTTTTAGACCTCATATAGCTTAGAAAGTCTGCTCATTGACAATTAATGGTTTACAGCAAGCATCACATCTATACATTTTCTACTGCTGTCACTCCCTGGACAGGCTTTTCTGAAAGATGAAGTTAACAGAGCATGTTGAATGGATAGCAGTWCTTCCCTTTTTCCAATTAAAAGCTACAGGGAAAAGATAATTGAAAAGACATTAGAGTTTAAAGCCCTTTGTCTAGAACTAGTCGTTCTGATCTACTTGGAAAGCATCCACACCATTTTCTAGTTTTTTACTCACATTTTTTTCTTTCATCTTAAAACAGTTATTGAGCAGAGCCTTGTCTGCACATAAAATTCCTCAAATTATAGCTCAAATAAGCAATGTCTCTGGCTCTCAAAATACATTTTTGTCTTTTCCAATTTTGTAGTGATGCCTCCTAAAAGGTGAAATTTATTAATCTTAACGAATCCATGTTGGGGCAATCCTACCCCTTTTCTTTTCCTGCTAGAAAACACAATTACACCTTGTCAGAAATAATATTATTAAACACATTTAACGCTGCGCCTGAACTTCTTTGTCCAAGGCTCTGGAGAAATTCTTGCCCTGGCAGATCTCCTGTGTGTGCCCTACTCTCCTCCCAACCCCAGCTCAGCTGGATACGCAGAACAGCAGGAACCATCCACCTTCTGCTTGTATCTTGTCACTTCAGGACACCTCCTACCTGACAGAGATTAACACAACCAGATTAATCTTCCCATAGTATCAGGGCATTTATTTTATCTTCTGTCCCGAGCAGACAGTTGATATAACAAAACAACAACAAAATACCCCAGGCTAATGAGAGATGAGAAAGCTTCCTTTGCAGAGATGGAGCACTTTTTTATCTTCACTCACCAAAACCAATCTGAGCCTTTCTTCTTTTTAAGGTAAATATTTCAGACAGGCATGGAAAATTTCTAACTCACAGACAGAAATTTCTGTCCCTGAGTTAGAAATTTTCACAAAGACCTGCAATAAATGTATGATATATGGCACAATGGTGCAGAACTCCGTGTAATCTGTAGTCATAGTTTTTTCTCTCTAAAGTAGTGGAGTCAAAAAAAAAAAATTGCTTCTGCAATAATCTCAGACCTTTTTCATGTGACAACACTTTGTAAGGCTCGGAAACAAACTACCCAAAACATTACAAAAGAGAGAAGACATGTAATTTCTGTCATCTAATCTCGGAGATAAAGTCATTCACAACAAACAGGTTTGCAATATCTCCTTCTAAACTGCTATCTGCTTGCAGTTCACAGCAAAATGCACCTGAGACATTTTAGCATTTACTTATGATAAAATGAATTGTGTCCAGAACTAGTTGACTGGATTCCATAAGGCAATTGTTCAGGTGYAGTTATCATGCTAAAATCTAAGCTGAGGGATGCATCAAGTTCTTAGCTCAGGGACCAGCATTTTTTATGGCACAGCATGCCAAACCAAAAGATTTGTAGAAAGGAAATTAAGTCAATATAAAAAGGAAAAATTTCTACTGAGGCACATCAGTAAAATCACCAACGTTTTTCACATCCAGCAGGAAAGTTTTCAGACACTCCCTAACACCTTCAGCAGGAAATGTTGAGTACTTTTATAGTATGGAAGCAAGAGCCCAGAGCATCCTCCTGAAAGTCAGCAGCTATGAGCAGCTGTTAGAGCACAGCCAGCACACTCCTGCAGGCAAAGCCAGGGCTCAGCACAATCCCTGGGAGAGGAAGGGCCTCTTGGGTAGAGAAAACCAGGCTGACAGGGCTGTGTCTGCTTTGTCAGGGCAGTGCAGACAGGCAGGAAAGCTGATGGGACCTTTTCTAGTGATGTCAGCACAGGAGGTGACATTTGTGAAGATKGAATGGTGGCTTAATGAGAAGGGAGACTATAGTGGGAAAGCATCTTTGTTGGCAAGGAAATGATGTGACAGAAAAGCTGACAAAGTGTAAATAGGGAGTGCATTGAAGGAGGAGAAGTCTGTAAGTGCAAATGCTACTGTGAGGATGCATGACATCAAAGTGTCCTATTTCTGAGGATGGTTAGTGTGATAAGCACTAAGGGGACATGCCTGGGAATGGCATYTTGAAATTTTCTACTAAAATGATCGCTATCTATTGCTGACCAGATCTGTTTTTATAAATCATAGTGAAGTTAAGAGGCAGTGAATGCACCTATGCTAAGTGGCAGACATTGTATAATTAACTGGAGAGGGGAATATCTTCCTTATTTTTRAGAATCCATTTTAAATGTTGTACCTGCAAGTGTTTAAAACAACTTGCAAATAATATTCTGACAGGTAAGTGAACTTCTAAGTGTGAAAAAATGATTGCTTTTTCCTGTGACTATTAATTTTGATCTGCACCATCCAGGGAAACTTGTCAAACTGTTGCATTTTTTTTTCTCTCCTCAGAATTATTCTGTACTTGATATGAGACCACCAACTACAGTCATCACACTGAACAATGCCATGTATTGGCAAGAATTTGAAGATGCGTGTGTCTATGAATGTCTGGACGGGAAAGACTGTCAGAGCTTTTTCTGTTGTTATGAGGAGTGTAAATCAGGCTCGTGGAGGAGAGGACGGATTCACATAGACATCTTAGAACTGGACTCTTACTCCAGGGTCTTTTTTCCTACATCCTTCCTGCTGTTTAACCTGGTCTACTGGGTTGGATACCTCTATCTTTAAATGTTGCCTGTAGCAGTGACAGAAGCAGTGACAGTGACAGAAGACTGCTGTGTTTTCTCACTGCGGACGGATGGTGAAAGTRCAGAAAACGTGAAGGACACAGTCAGTTCCATCTCAAATTATAAAGACCACATTAACCTTCACCATCGCAGAGCCTGATGAAGARTTTTCATATGTAATTTCCTGAAAAAAAAAAACCATGGAAGATTCTCTCCTAACTGCTATTTGTTTTAAGAAAAAGGTTCTTACAAAATTCAGCTGAATTTGTAGTGTAAGCAATGTTTATGAATAATTATTGTATATTAGAATCCCTACCATTGTCCCTTGGCATAGAAGCTATTCACAATTCAAAGATTAAATATGTAACTTTAATTTTTCATTCCCATGCTTCCTTCAAAATGCTGCCACATCCCTAAGGCTCAGAGCAATGTACACTGGCATTAGCAAATAAGCCAAAGAAAACTTAAGCCACTCATTTGTATTTAAATTTGCTTGAGCTAAATCCCATGGGTTTTGGGAAACTGATGATCTTCTTGATGTAGAGTAACCACCAAAAGACAATAAGAAATGTTTTTGATGAGATCAAAATGTGGACATTACTTTCTGCAGAGGTTGGGATTCACATAATTAGCCACTATCCCACACATATTGGTTTTAACTTAAAGGTGAAAAGGCAGACAGAGGAGAAAGCTGTTATTTTGATAAAAATAAGACTTACCTATCTCTGAGGCAGCTGTAGGCATAACTTCTACTACAGTTTTTCAAGCTTTTAACTGTTTTTTTATGACTCATTAAACACAGGATGGTCATTGATTTCTAAAGTACTATACTTGAAGCAGGTCTAGATTCATGCTTGTTTGTGTCATTGTAGCAGATCATAGCGCATAGCCCATGGGTAAAAATCATTATATAATACCACCAGGAATATGTGACTTTCTTCAGATTTCTATTTGCTAAAAAGGGCACCCATGCATTCTTATTTTTTCTCTCAAAGTTGTTTTACAAAATCAAAGAACATGTGTGCCAAAGGAATTTTTTTGTTYTTTTGATAACATTAAACACTGCAGTATTTACTCATGGTAGTTTTCCCTGGGCCTGAACTGAAAACGGAGTACTTGTGGCTTGAAGAGTGCATTACAGAAACCCAGTTGTGACACTTGGATTAAACATGAAATAGTTGTATTAAACATGAAATAGTTTCCACATGAAGAAAGAGGTTCTTTTAATTATTTTCCAAAATTGCCAACTATATYTTACACTATATCCAATTTTGTATTTTTCAGGGTTTTGGCCATTAACTACCCATTTTTTTCAAAAACTAGTTTCACAGTATTAAACTGAATGTTGTCTTTTACAGATTGTCTATATAGTTGTCATTAAGCGAACAAAACACATCCAGAATTAAATAGCAATAGCTTTTCACTACCCTTTGGATGACAAATTGTTACAGAAGATTGACGTTAAAAGATACCGAAAACAGCAATTCTATTTCTTTTACCTTCTGGAGAAAATTTTTTTATGAACTCAAAAAATGTGTGCCTCTTCCACACAGTATTTGATAAGAAAATGAATGAYGCATGTGACTGAAAAAAAGTTCCTTTTCTCCTCATAAGGAAAACCCCACAAACAAGCAAAAACTATTGCAATGGTAATTCTAAAGGAACAGAAATGCTGTCATGTTCTTTGAAACATCACTGTCTGTCATTGTTGTTGCTCTGTTCTTCCACTGAGTTTTTAATTGAAAAAACAACCCTAACACAAAAGTTAATTATAGTTATTCAAAATCTTTCTTCTGTTTTTCACTTGTCTGAAATATCAGAAATATAGCTTGGTTTAGGTCGGGGAGGGGAATCACTTCTGTAAGGACTGATAAAACTTGAATTAGAAGCACAGAGAAGAAATATTTTGAGGCAGARTCTAAGCCTTATTTTTAGCAAAATCTGCCCAATCTGATGTCTTCTAAATGAATGATAACCATCTGATTTCAAAGTACATGTTGAAAAACTTGCTAATTCTCATTAGTAAATTAACTGCTTTATAAACCTGTGTCCTGCACTTGGAAATATGGATTTATTTTAAGGATGACAGTGATATTTTATGTAGGGCAAGAAGGTGAATTGGAGTTGAATATCCTGATCTCTAATTATGAGTTAGTCAATTCTAATAGTCACCTTCAGCCATTCTTTGTAAGAATACTAGAAATATTATAAAAGATATAATAAATAAAAGGATGGAAACTGTTTTCCTTTAGGATGCTGATCCTGCAAACCCTCTGCACAATCAATTGTTTTTTGGTGGTAGTATTGACACAAATGATGCACAGTCAGGTGCCTTCCACCATTAGATCTTGAGCAGGTAACATGAAGTTTATTTAACAGTTGCACACTGTGTGAATATCCTGGGAAGTGGAACATTCCCATGTTGGATGATGAGCACAAGCCTTTCTTACACTTCTGCTCATGGCTGCCCATGGGCCCTGCTGAAAGCAGACAATCCCACCAGATCCTTCTTTGGAAGAGTGGTTCTGCTAATCCATTGATATTTTCTGAGTGTTTTCATAAACAGAAGTTGGAAGCATATAATTCAATTTTTTCCACTGTCCTAATCAAGAAAGAAGCTGCTGACACTACTGCCTTCTGCTCTTATAGTGAAAGCAGAGGACATACTYTACTGTGTAATTGATTCTGCTCTGGGGTTATCAAAAATGTTATTTTTATGCAAGGCAAGTGGCTCCAGATTGGCAGGTTCCTGAGTGGGTTCCTCTGCTTATTCCTAGTAACTTGGCTTACTCTCACTGCTTTACTGCTCTGTGCTTGGCAGCCACTGCAAAACCTTAGAGATCAGGGAAGATAAGCTTTCTACAATCTGAATCATTTAAAATGCAATTATTTTAGAGACTTAGATAATGTGGTCTCCATACATCTATGTGCCATATCCTTCTGTAGGAGTAATATCCTCATTAACTTCCAGATATTCTTTYGCTCCTTTTGCAAATTGACAAAACATGAGAAATGTAAGAACTGTATTTTAACATTTTAGAACATTTTCTTATCACATAATTTCATATTCAAGACTTGCATTTATTCAACTACTTCTTTTTGTTATTTAGTATTTMTTTTTACCTTTCCAAGGAAGGGAACAGAAGATGGCAAAACTCAATGAATAGTGAAATKAACAGATTTGACAATGTAAAACCTCAAAATCAAGAATCTAAACATTATGTTCCTCCCTTGTTGAAGTCACAGAAAGGATTGTGAGTATTTTTTTAATAATCATCTTTCTTTTTTTCCAGGAAGAAATAAAGTCAGTCCTCTTATTCTTCCCTTCAATTAAAAGTTCATGGGCAATGTTTTTCTTTATTGCAGGCAGCATTTTCAAGGCAACTAAGATTGTATAAAAATATTGGTCTGCTTAATTCAATCTTCTTACTTTTTCTGGCACTGATGCCCAGCATATTGAGAGCCATTCTTCCAAGAGTGAGGGTATAAAAACTTGTAGCCAATTTATGCTCTCTCAATGTCCAGCAGTAATGTGGAGCTGAAGTGCACCACACACCACACAATTTTAGTTTTACATTCTAATCAAGAAGTCTGGTTGYTGTTTAAAACACCTCAGGCATTTTGATAACCTTCTTTCTCATATTGTTCTTAACCTACTCTCCACTGTATATTGCCATATTGTGCATACCAATAAAAATGATAAAAATTACAAAAACCAGAACTGTCTTCACAGAGACAGTGATGAGTAGCAGAGCTAAAAGAAGAGAAAGAAATTAATTTTTATTGCTGCACAGTTCTTATCTGTTGCAGTCCTCTTATTCAGTTTAACCCACAGCTAATTCAAAATCATCCACCTGGAGGTTTGCACATTCATCAGCTGAAACAGCAGTGACACACGAGCCTTTAGCTGATAGGAAATTATTTCTGGAACTGGAGGCATCCTGCCAAGTAACTCAGACAGATAGCTATCTGAAACCCTTCTGCAGCTCTGTCTTGGTGTCCAGCGTCTCACGTTGCTTCATGAATTTATCACAACTCACCTTACTTGGTCATTTCATGAAGGGAAGGCTGTTTACCTTCTTTTTATACAAAATTTCATCATATAGCTAATAAAATGGCTGTCCTACATGACCAGATGCAAGGCAGCTCTGGAACTGCTGACTTTGTGGGAAGGGAGACTCAATATTATACAACAGAGATTTCACAGAATCAGCTAAGTTGGAAAAGACCTTGGAGATTGTCAAGTCCAACCTGTAACCCAACACCACCTCATCAACTAAACCATGGCACTAAGTGCCACATCCAGTCTTTTTTTAAACACCTCCAGGGACTATTCCTTTAGCCTCATAATCTGGAGAGTTGATGTCACCTTCTAATCTGTAAAACAAAGTGCCCACTGAAACTTGTAAAGGCTTTCCATAACAGACTGTACTTTTTTCCATTTCCTGGTTTTCATATAATGCAGTAAGAAAAGGCAAGCCATATCTCATCATCTTAGATGCCTACACAATCAGATGATTTTTTTTTTCAAATCTTCCTCTTCCTGCTCACAGTGAAATGTTTGTGCCTCTTACGTCAGTGCCTTTATCATTTATTAATATGAAAGTATATTCCTTGACATTAAAGACTATTTCTCATCTGAAAGTTAGAAAGTAGGACAATGGCCTTCCTGGATTTCTTCCTGAGCACCACAGTGTGTGACCTATATTGTAAATATCTTTAACCTGTGGATTGAGCATTTGTCTGCTTGTTCTTTGTTTTTCTAAACAGTCTGTAGGGTTCTTATTTCCTAAATAGCAAAAAGACTGCAGTGGAACTTCAGCAGTTTAGCCAAATCCTTCTTCACTTAGCCATTTCACTCCACCAAGAGATACAGAGCATGAAAGCAAGRCTCGTTCAGATCTCTTTCCAGCAGACTATTTAAAATAACCAAAAAACAGACTATGGATTGGAAATGCATTTCCACAGCTGAAAGGTGAGGTTCTTTTTTCTTTAGAGGTTTCTTGGTGTTTTTTTTCTCTGTTAATTTTAGATCCTCCCTTCCTCCACAAGCACAAAATTAGCTCCACTTACACTTACATACAGAAAACTTATGCTTACATACTGAAAAAAAAAGTATAATGTCAATTAATCTTATGCGTTACTTGTATGCCTTCCACCTTCTTATGGTTCATCACGCTCTCTTCTTGAAGGGTTCTAGTATGTATGTG